CCCACTGGACTACTGTATAAATTGGACTCAACATTTAATATTTATTGTAATGAATGCCCTATCATCACTCACATGAACACCGTGCAGGGGCAGGGCGCTGGCCGCCGAGGTCACCCTGCTGTACTTGCAGCAGGTGAGGTGGTGCAATGCCCAGGGCTGTCAGAGGAGAGGTGCAGGGGGGAGACACTGGATTTGGCTGGGGGCAAGGGGATTGCACTAGAGGGGACATCTGCAGCTGCAAGGTCAGGAGGCGCCCAGAACCCCCACTCACCCACCCTTGCCAGGTGGGGGCGGGGCTGCCTGCCCGCAGAGGAGGCTGTGCCCGCACCCAAAATGGCCGCCCTACCACCTGCGGCGGGGCTGGGAGTGCCTGAAGCACCACCCCCACCGGGCCCAGCTCAGGCGTCTCTAGGTGGGATTAGGTGCCCATCTCCAAGATGGCCGAAGAGAGAAGCGAGTAGGACACTCCCCGCGAGCCCCGGGCGGCCATCTTGCGTTCGGGCAGCATGGCCGCCCGCGTGAGCGGCCTCCGCCATGGGCCGGGCCGGCGGCCCCGGTCTGTACCATCGTGCTGACGGGGTGGGGGGGGAGAGGGGCGTGGGCTGCTCACGCTGCCGCGCCCAAGCCGGACGGACCCATGCGATCGCGCGCGGGCAGAGCGCGCCGCGGGGCAGGGTAAGGCGGGGCGGCCGTGCCTATAGCGGGACCTTCCTGCCCCCTATAGACAGGCGCTGGGATGGGGTTCCTGCTATAGCAGAACCTTCCTGCCCCCTATAGGTGGACTGGGGCGGGGGCTATAGCGGAATTGTCCTGCCCCTATAGATAGGCACTTGGATGGGGTTCCTCCTATAGCAGAACCGTCTTGTCCCCTATATATGGGCTCTGGGCAGGGGTGGTGCCCCATAGTAGAACCTCCCTATCCCTATGGGAGGCTGCCATGCTGGGGGTGCCCTATAGCCGACTCTTCCTGCCCCTATAGACAGGCACTTGGATGGGGTTCCTCCTATGGCAGAACCTTCCTGCCACCTATAGATGTGGGGGGCCTATAGCAGAATTCTATTGCCCCCTACAGACAGGGACCGTGCTGAGGTCGCCTCTATAGCAGAATCTTCCTACCCCCTATAGGCAGGCAGTGGGATGGGGTTTCCTATGTAGCAGAACCTTTTGTTCCCTATAGATGGGTGCTGGGAAGGAGGGGAGGGTGGCCCTATACCAGAATCTTCCTGCCTCCTATAGACAGGCACTGTGCTGGGGTGGGAGTGCCCCGTAGTGGAATCTTCCTGCCCCCTATAGGTGGGCAGTGGGTACCTGTCCCTGACAGGTAGCTGGGGGTTGGAGATTGCAGAGCCAGAAATCATCCACAGAGGAGATCGTGCAAAGTGTGGTCTGAACAGGGACTACGGATTCACTTCCCATTGCCTGCTTTTACTGTGTGTAACTGCTGTGCCCCCCAATGGGTTAACTGCTTTGGTTTTCCCTCTCTTACCTCCCCCAGCAGTGCCCCTTCCTCTTTCCTTCTCCCTTTCCTCCCCTTTGTATCCTAATTACTGCTTTCTGTTCAGCAGCTCTGCTCCATGCCATCCCTTCTCAGTTTCTGATGAAGTAAGCCCTCTGCTCATGAAAGCTCACGCATCTCTGATTTAGTTGGTCTGTAACGGCTTACCTGCAGCACAGGTGCCCGTGTGTGTGCCACACAGCAGGGCAGGGAGGGGACAGGCAGCACAGCAGCACATAGGGCAGGAAGCAGAAAGCAGACCTAGCAGGGAATGCAGGGCTGGGAGTAGAAAGCAGAGCAGCAGATCGAGTAGGGGAAGGGGATTAGAGTGGCACCTGCTGAGGGTCTGGGGTTAATTTGTGGCATGCCTGCTGGAAGGGTCTCTAAGGTGCAAATCTATCCTGCCTACTGCCTGACTTAAGACTAACACTGCTAGCTACCTCTCACTGTTCTTGTAGGGGGGTCCTGCCCAGCTCTGGGTGATGAGGGCTGCGCTGTGCTGAGGGGGGGAAGACTAACAGCATACTGGGCTTGATTAGTAGGAGTATTGCCAGCAGATTGAGGGAAGTGATT